GAGGTCTTTACATCAGGGCCGATCTTGTACTCCCATAAACAAGATTGCTCAGGCAGTTAGCTTGGCATTGAGCCATTCTTATGTGCTTGTTCCTGGTATATTTGCAGTAACATGTGGAAACCATTTAGCATGGGCACAAGCGGTGCCAGACACAGATATCTTTCCGCAGATGAATACTCTATACATTCGTGCACAGGATGGGCATCTTTTCTTGACTTCAGTGATCCTATCAATATTCGAAGGCATTTTCTTGTTGCTGAGAGCTTTGTATTTGTCATTTTTGTTCACACCTAGCATTGTCATGGCTCCATTTGCAGATAGTTTTGGACCTCGGTTCAGGAAATTATGGCTTCAGGTTGTTCATCAAACACTAGAAAGAGCTGGTCCAGCTTTCATAAAATGGGGCCAGTGGGCAGCCACACGACCAGATCTCTTTCCTAGAGATTTGTGCACTGAACTTTCAAAGCTTCACACGAAAGCACCTGAACATAGCTTTTCCTACACGAAAAAGACGATTGAAAGAGCTTTCCATCGTAAGATTTCCGAAATTTTTGACAACTTCGAGGAAAAACCTGTAGCATCTGGAAGTATAGCTCAAGTGCATCGAGCTTCACTGCGGTCTCGATACCATGGTCGTGAGATGAAACCAATGCTAGTTGCAGTGAAGGTGAGACACCCAGGAGTTGGTGAGTCAATTAAAAGGGATTTTGAGATAATTAATATAGCGGCCAAAATATCAACATACATTCCTGCTCTGAATTGGTTGAGATTGGATGAAAGCGTCCGGCAGTTTGCAGTTTTCATGATGTCTCAAGTTGATCTTGCACGAGAAGCTGCCCACTTGAGCCGCTTTATATACAATTTTCGCAGATGGAAAGACGTTTCTTTCCCCAAGCCTGTATATCCACTGGTCCATCCTGCCGTTTTGGTGGAAACATTTGAGGATGGGGAATGTGTTTCCCGCTATGTTGATGATCTCGAGGGGAATGAACGAATCAAAAGTTCGCTTGCCCACATTGGGACCCATGCACTGCTGAAGATGCTTCTGGTACCATATGCGATCTCTTTTTTCTTCTTGCTTGTGATCTGTCTTATGCTTTATAAGTTGGTAATTTGTATAATATATCCGCCCCCTGCTTTTGGTGTGCTATGGCAGCGAAGCTATTGCTGAAACTGCACTTTCTTTCTGCATGTGATGAATGTTGTAATTCTATTTGGGTGATTATTTTATGTGATTTGGGTGGGCACGTTGTTTGCTCTTCCCTGAGAGGATGTAAGATCTACATAACATGATAGACACGGTGTCTCGGCAACGAGTCTAAAGATATTATTAGGTGATTTGATCTTAATTTATCGTAGAGATACTGAGAGGGGACTGAGTTCTATGACCTGAAACTCAATTCTATCCAAGTGTTTGCTCGGTGCATAAAGCCACTGGTTTGTTTGCTATATTTATATATGTAATAGTTACTTTGGAATCAATAATGACTCATTTATATACTGCTGTACTGTGTTTGTAGTCTAAAATGCTCAGCTTTTCTGCTCGAGAATATATGTATCCTGGATATTCTGTTCTAGCCTTACAGTTGGAATGCCAAGAAGGGATCTGAATTCTTCAACTTGAAACTTAGTTTTTGTGAAATGAAGTTGTTGATTCTTAATGACAAGGGGTGTTGTCTATTGTTTTGCTGAACATAATGCTTGCTATCATGGAGGTTAAGGTTGGGTGATTTTTTTTTTTGTCTGTTTATCCATATTTGAAAAATTAGATTTAGTGATCTAGGAGTAAAAATAATTTCTCTGTGCACGTTGTGGGAAACTAACATGATGTCTTCTGGAGATGAACTGCTGCATTAATATATTATATAAATGAGGAGATTCCAGACCCAGGTTTCATGTTTCCACTATTATTTAAGATAAAATTAAATGTACCAAGGTAATGGAGTACCTGTGAAAATGAAAAAAAATAAAAAATTGATAGTTCCACTCTCTGATTAGCTTTTTTTTTTTTCCCCTTGTCAGGTAGACAACTTTGTTCATGCTGACATGCATCCTGGAAACATCCTTGTCCGTGTAGCTCAAAGCAAATTGCCTCGTAAACGGCTTTTCAAAACCAAGCCTCATGTTATTTTCCTTGATGTAGGCATGACTGCTGAACTCTCTAAGAGTGACCGGATAAATTTACTTGAGTTCTTCAAGGCTGTTGCCCTTAGAGATGGCAAAACAGCAGCAGAGTGCACACTAAGATTATCGAAGAAACAAAACTGCCCTGATCCAGAGGCCTTTATTCAGGTGAATTTTGAGTACCTAATGGTATTTGACACTTCTATGTGGTTCTTTGAGTTTCTCTGCCATCGTTGCAATTCAGAACCAGTGTTCGTGGCCCTATAGTTCAAGCCTCTTGTGTTTGTTCTTTATGCATCATCTAATATACTGGAATCCATCAATTAACCATGATCTTAAGTTACGCTAACAACCAATGAGCTTCATGGTGATGAACATTACATTGTAACATTATTAAGAATGCTGAAGAGCTGACTGCTGATGCCTTTCTGTTATCAGTCTTTAATTTGCATCAGCACCATAATATGGAGTCTCTGGCCGCATAGTTGTTTGAAATGAATAAATAACTCAAAAATGTTATTTTACCTGACAAACTCTGGCAAGGAGGAAGCTGTCTTTTCATAGAGGAAGAAATTGGTTTTTTTTTTTTTTTGGGTGGGCTGCGGTTGGGAATTCAAATTTTGTGTTTTTATTTGGAAATTATACATTTTATGATTGAATATAGAAATGAGTTCTTTTAGTTTTTGTTTCTATTTTTAGTTATCTTTTTTATGTTTCTTATCAAATGTCTATGTTATCTGGTTTTCAGTTTTTGGTCCGTTTACCTGTGAAGAATATGATTAAACTTATTGCTGCATAAATCCGAATTTTCATTTTGTAAAGCTTGAATGTGATTGTGTTTAGCATTTTGATTCCTTTGCTTTGACAGGAAGTGAAAGTGTCATTTGATTTTTGGGGTACTCCAGAGGGGGATTTTGTCCATCCTGCTGATTGCATGCATCAATTACTGGATCAAGTTAGGCGTCATAAAGTAAACGTTGATGGCAATGTTTGCACGGTGATGGTGACAGTTTTGGTGCTTGAGGTACCCCTCTGCATTTTCATTAATTCTGTTATGCTTGTAAAGGAGAAGTCCGTGTATTAAAAATTAAAATATAATCTTTGCTTCATTCTCCGAATAGTTATGAGCTTAGTTCTTGAATGCAGTGAAACTGTTGCTACTAAACATGTTTGAATAACCTACTTTTAAGTAAAAATGTTTACTTATTTTTTAAAGTTTTTTAAAGTAACTATTACTATCAAATAAATACTCACTATTTTCAATTTTGACCAATAGAAAAAATTATTTATTTTTGAATTATTTACTGTAAAGTAACCTTTTTTTAGCTTAGTTGAATATGTTTGTATTTTGGTTGCGTGTTCCTTCTCTTTTGCCTTTGTCATTCTGGGGTCGGCAATTCAAAATTTTATCTAGCAGACGGAGTTAAATTGTAACAAGTTTTCGAAGATATTATGGAGGATTCATTGCCAAACTGAATCATTCATTTTCTTTTAGTGTTCATGGATTCAATTCTCGTGATTTTTCATTTTTTCTTTACTTTTATTTATAGGGTTGGCAGCGGAAGCTTGATCCAGATTACGATATGATGCATACGCTACAGACGTTGCTCCTAAAAGCAGACTGGGCAAAGTCACTTTCTTACACAATCGAAGGACTCATGGCCCCGTAAAGAAGAGCCTTAGACTGCCCTGCAATTACTTTCAAACAATTTTGTGAATGTAGAGCACATTAACTATACATCAGCCACACAAATATTATTGTCTTCACACAATTTATTTTTCGCTTGCCCTGTCACATTTTTGTAAGGACAGATTTAGTGTATTTGTTCATTGTTTTTGTTCTGAAACTACTCTCTAGTGATGGCTCACAATCTATCCTTTTTTCTTTTCTAGTTTATTGTCTATGGCAAAAAAAATAAAAAATAAAAATTATGTTTATATTGTATACGTTACTCGAACCCTTTTAGTGCTAATGAATGCTGAAGTAGCGACTAAATCTGTAAGCAGCACATTTGCTTTAAATCGAGAACGACTTGTATTCGTATTCTTCTCTCCAGCATATCATTTAGTCTGTATATTTAAAATTCATCTTCTTGACAGTAGGGATGGCAACGGGGCGGGTACGGGACGGGTATGCCATTCCCACCCTCGTCCCATCGGATATTTTTGTTACCTTGTCCTATCCCCATATCAGTTTAAATGGGGCAGGTCATTTGCCCCATTTATAGCTTCAATTATTTTTTCTCTTTATTTTTTATTTATTTATTTATTTATTTTTATTTTTTTTTATGTCTTTACTTAATAAATATTATTAGTTTTTACCAATTTATTAGAACAACTCATGTTCTCTTTAAAAATATGATAAATCTATTATTTTTGTTTGATAAAAAACTTAAATTTAAAATTAACTTTAAACAGGATGGGTAGAGGGGCGGGGACTATGATTCCCGTACCCACCCCGTAACCGCTTCGGGGTAATGATCATCACCCCATCCCTGTCTCGTTTATCCAATTAGACGGGTAATCACCCCCTTGTTCTAGGCAGGGGCCCTCAGATTTCAAGTTGAACGGATTTTTTTGATAAATGCTCGAACACCTGTTAAGTTGTTAATGGTTGGCTTTCTCAGATTTTGTTTGTCAGAATTTAGTCAAATGAATAGAGGCAAAGTGGATTTCCAAATCGAATAACTGAACAAATGCATACGTGTAAGAATCATCATTCTGATGTACTAAAATTCTATTTGCCACCCAAATAATTTCACAATTATTTTGTAGTACATAAAAACTTTAATCAATAAGTACGTACAATAAATAGATTTTGATTTTCTTTTTCAATACTGCTGTGTAGCATAAAATCTCTCCGACCAAACTTGAACTTAAAACTTTCCATTACCAATAATCCACAACCAATCTAGAGCAACACCCGAAAAAATGCCACCAAGAAGAAATAGTACTAGCAAATTACCCAATGCATTCTGCTCCGGAGCCTACAAATACGAGTCCCCAAACATATTATGGTCATGAATGTAAGAATGTAACTATAATAATGTTTTTTTTTTTTTTTTGAACTTACCGTATAACCTTTAGGAGCTGCTGTGAGAACACAGACAGTGAGGTGGCCATTTGTTAGTCCTAAGAACGATACAAGCAGTATCATATATCCCTGATCACCATACTTTGCGGTGAAGTAGAATGCAGGAATGAGCAAGAAACGCGATAATGACGCTATCAATAGGCCCTTTCGGGATTCTAACTTGATACTTTTTATAAGTGGAGTGTATCGTCCTATAAGATCCAACACGTTGTACATTGCTATCAAGACAACTGGATACCTTCACATACAAAGAATTTAAATTATTAAATGAATCGAGTTCTTGTAAATTTGTTCCAACGCATCTTATTAGAAGAGCACTTACCAAGAGCCCAACTGGTGGGTTCCCGTGTTTTCGAATAAGAACCCAGGAAAAATTGATAATGTTAGAACATATATAAGGTAGAGGTCCAATGCATAATCAAGATTCTGAAATAAAATTTGTTTGTTGCTCAGCCTCTCATGTTTAGCAATGTCAGCCTGCATTGATAATAAAAGCTATTATTAAAGTTTGAAATAAACAAATTCATTGAGAAATGAACTTTTCTTACTAAATAAAGTTTTCTTACAGTTGCAGTTTCTTCAGTATTGATGCCAGCAGCAGCTAGGTCAGCAGAAACTGTTTTTGATCCTTCTGAAGCTGCTTTTGTGCGATAGTACTTCACAATTGGTAGCTTGGCGAAGACAAACGCGTATAAGAAAATACATAGAAATTCAAAGAATGTGGAGATGGCGAGAAACAACACTGCAAAAACATTATAAATAAATACTATTACCATCTTGTTCTCATTTGATAAATCTAAGTGAAATACATGCTTTTGCATATAAATTCGTATACCACTATGGGACTTGATTTCTAGAACTCAAATACATAATTTTCAAGCTAGAAAGATTCTTGCATAGTATGAGAAAATTACTTACTAGTTCCTTTACGGAGGCCATTACTAGACTTATCAAAAGCAGCTTTTGTTATCATGCGTAAGCCAGAAGTGAGAGCCCCTGATGCAGCTAAACCAGCAAAGAATGACTGCAAGATCAGGTAATGGAGATTATAAATCTAATGACCTGGTTTAAATAAATTAAATGTTTAGAAGTGTAATACGGGCAGAAAAATTTTACGTAGTCAAAAAATATACCTGGACAAATTCAGGAAGCATGAAAGATAGATCTCCGACCATTCCACCTTGAACATGAGCATCTGCTACTCCAAAAGCAGCAACGAAAACACAAATGCCAATATAATTTCCTACTCCCCCTTTCCCTGATGTGCCTAGGTCCAACTGAAACGAAAAAAGTTATTATCAATAGGAAAAGTAAACGGAAAACATGGTGCAAAATTGCTCAGAGCTGAACTTACAAGAAGAAGTCCCAAAGTGCTTAAAAAGAAAAGAGTATAACCCATCAAGTTCCTTTTCCTTGTATCAATCTTTGCCTCGTTGTATGCGAGTAATGCCATTGTTCCAACCGCAAATGGTTGATAAACCAGAGTGAGGACCCGTGCAGGATGGTAATCCTACACATATGTAGAAAAAGAGGACGAATTCTTCAAATTTGATGACAAACATTTAACACTGAAATAATAGGATAGCAAAGAATTTGCAACTCTATTTTCAGTTATTGCTTCAGAAACCAATTAATTGGTATTCAGTTAATAACTTTGGAACTTGCTCATAAAGGGAGAAATTTTTCATTGAACTCAATTATCTACGGGTAGACACTATTTTCATTGGTTTCCCTTTACGATTGGAAGTTATTTATTGTTATTTGACTATCAATCTCTCGTACGTAATTGACATTTCAAAGTTCCACCGAACAGGGATTTTTATGGACCACGCGTAAAATCATTCTGTTTGCAGAAGTTTCAAACTCGTTGTTAGACCATCGAACCATTACCAACTATTACAACATCATTTTACTCTTCTACCTGAACCAACTCAAATCAATGAAACACTATTTTTAGTCCTTACACAGAGACAATATAGAATTTAGATGAGAAAAATGTAAATTAATTTAGAAAAAATATGGTTTTATTAGTACTTAATTATTCTAATCAGGAAAAAAAAATGGATATAAGTGCTTACTGGGAACAAATTATAGTAGTAATCTCCTATTGTCAGCATACTGTTCCATGAGACAAGGGATCCTAATCCCAGAAACCAACAAACCACCATTGCCTTGTATTTTCCCTGACACAACAGTTAATTTTCCTGTAAGAATTTCAATTTCGCAAATAAGATTAAACATAAGAAAAAGAATT